TGGGAGCTATGTGATCTTCCAAAAGGGTAGAAGACAATTGGTGTAAGGTGGGTTTACAAGACAAAGCTAAAGGAGAATGATGAGGTTGACAAGCACAAGGCACGCTTGGTAGCTAAGGGCTACAAGCAAGAGTTTGGTGTTGATTATAAAGAAGTCTTTGCTCCGGTTGCAAGACATGATACAATTAGATTGGTGATTGCTATGGCAGCTCAAAACTCATGGCCTATCTTCCAGTTGGATGTGAAATCAACATTCCTCCATGGAGATTTGAAAGAAGAGGTATTTATCGATCAACCTCCTGGTTATGTAAAATTTGGCAATCAGCATAAAGTGTATAAGTTAAAGAAAGCTCTATATGGATTAAAACAAGCTCCATGGGCTTGGTATAATCGTATAAAAACTTATTTTTTTGAAGGAAGGATTTCAAAAATGTCCTTATGAATATAAACTTTTTATAAAAACTGAAGATGGAGGAAAAATGCTCATTGTTTGCTTATATGTAGATGATTTAATCTACACTGGAAATAATACAGCCATGTTTGGTAGTTTCAAGAAATCCATGATGGCTGAATTTGAGATGTTTGATCTTGGTATGATGCATTACTTTCTTGGCATTGAAATGGTGCAGTCCTCTACTGGAATTTTTATTTCTCAAAAGAAATATGTGCGAGAAATCTTGGACAGGTTTTAGATGAAGGATTGTAATCTTGTAAATACTCCATCTGAGTTTGGAGTGAAGCTAAACAAAGATAATAGAGGAAAGAAGGTTGATGACACTCTTTACAAACAAATAATGGGGAGTTTAATGTATTTGACAGTGATGGGACTTGGATAATGAGGGTGTAAGAAAAGTGAAATAAGATAGCAAACAGTGAATTGAGGGGAGGTTGACAGGAAACTTCCATGGGCTTCGGCTAAGACAGGTAGCGATTGGGGGTTGGGACAGCAAAGGAATTCAGTTAGGGAGAGAGAGAGGCCTGGAGGATAAAAAGAGAGAGAGAGAGAGAGAAGATTGAGGGAGGGAAGAATATAGGAAAATTTGGGAGGAGCTAACCCTTGAAGTTAGCAATTAGGGAGGAGCTGGCCCTCGAAGTCCAGCATTGTTTTTACTTTCATATTTTGATTTTGTCATTTTGGGTTGATGTGCTAAGCATATTTTGTTGTTTGCTACCAATGTTATCAATTTGTTGAATATCAATACACACATATATTTTCTTCCTATTTGTTGGCTGATGGTTGTTATTATTTTACTATTTTGTTGAGTTTTGGGAGTGGGTTTTCATCAATTGGTTGTGGGTTTTCATCAGACAGCAACAAGACCTGATATAATGCATGCTGTAAGTGTGATTAGCAGGTACATGGAATGTCCTACAGAGATTCATCTCTTGGCTGCAAAAAGAATTTTCCGTTACTTGCAAGATACTAAAGAGTTTGGGCTGTTCTACAAGAATGGAGAAAAGTCAAATCTGTATTATGCAGGAGATTCAGATGATCGAAAAAGCACATCTGGGTATGTTTTCATGATGGGGACAGGAGTTGTTTCATGGTCATCCAAGAAGCAACCTATTGTCACATTATCATCCACTGAAGCTGAATTTGTTGCTGCAACAGCTTGTGCTTGTCAAGCTATTTGACTAAAGAAAATCCTTAAAGAGCTGCATTTCAAGGAGGATGGACCAACTCTGATTTATTGTGACAACAGTTCAGCAATAAAGCTTTCAAAAAATCCAGTTTTACATGGTCGAAGCAAACATATAGATGTGAAGTATCATTTCTTGAGGAATCTCACAAATGATGGAGTCATTAATCTTATTTACTGCAGAAGTGAAGACCATATTGCTGATATTCTAACCCAGCCTCTCAAGTTTCCTGCATTTCAGAAGTTCAGGAAGCTACTTGGTGTTTGTACTTCAAATGTTTCAATTTGAGGGATGGAACTTCAAAATTTAACTCTTATTAAACTGGATGTATGTCTGGAACATCAGTTTAAGGGAGGGATTGTTGAGGAAATTTAATAATTTGCACGTTTGGGTTGTCCTAGTCTTTAGGAGTGTCAGTAAGTTTGTTTCTGTTTACCTAGTCAATAGGAGTTTGTTTTTGAACGTTGGATGGTGCCTATTTTCATGTTGCTTTCAGTTTATGCATTAGCCTATTTATAGGCTGGTTGTTTATCAATGAAATGTAGAAAAAGGTTTATCCTCTGCTTTCTCTATATCTTCTGCTTCCAGCTGTTATTGTGTAAACACGTCCTTTAGTATTTTGTTTCCATCAGGTTTGTGGGGTATTATGTCGTTTGCGCATGATTGGAAGCCTGGATTTTTTTTGTTATTTATGGCTGGTCAGGAGTGATTTCTGCTGGTCGTGTTGGTTTGGCTTTACCTGCTGGCTGCTGGTCGAGTTCGGATGATGCAAATTGTTGTGCTTTTCTGATTGCAGTGGATTGGGAGTTGGGATGCTGCTGGTTATGGACTGATTTTGCTGCAGGATGGGATCTGGTATGCTTGTTGGCTGTCCTTCGGTTGGGAGTGGTCTTGGATGTTGGTGGTGGATTGCGTCGCTTGGGGCATTTGGTTATTGGATTGGTGGCTGCTTTAACACCAGGGTGGGGTTCCGTTTTAACTGCTAGATCCTGGGTTTTTTTGTGAGCTAATGCGGGTCCCGCTTTGGATTTTGTCGCGTTGGGATTATGTTTTGGAGTGGTCCTCTTTGCTGATTTTTTGTATAGACCCTTACGGTTTTTTCTTTTTGGATTCTTTTTGCTTGAGCTGTCTCCTTGGCTGTCGTAAAGGAATGCTTTGTGTAGGGGTTCTGTCCTCTTAGTTTGTATTCTCTATTCATTTTAAAATGAGTAAATGACCAATTACCCAAAAAAAGAAATTAAAATTAAGAAATTTAAAACTAAAAGAACATTTAATAAAATAAAAAAACTAAAAAGTTATATTATTTATTTTGTAAAAAGAGATAATTTAAATATTTTATTTAGTTTTTTATTATTTATTTTGTAAAAAAATAATTTATGTCTTTATCCTTATATAAAATTTAATCTTAACCCTAAGTAACGGTTTATTGTCCCTTAATTGAACAATTAAGATATTTTTATCCCCAAACTATAGATGTACCTTAAAATAAAACTACACAATTAAGCACAAATAATTTAGGTAAAATCTAGGCAAAGTACAGATGTATTTATGATCACATTTTTAGAAATTATTATTCTGGGGTTTGGATTTAAAATAGTTTCTAAATCTATATGTTTTAGTTGTATTTAACTATATCTTATGAATTTTTAACATATATATATACACTTATAAATTAAATAAAATCAAAGGTTGATAACAAAAATATTGTTAGATTTAGTTAAGATACCTCTAATAAAAAAATAAAAAATAAAAGCACCTTATTGCAGTGTAATTGTTAGACTAATCCAAATTTTATAACTTATTACTGAAAATAAAAAATTTTAAAAACTAATTATGATTTTAAAAAATGAAATTTGGATGAAATATTAAATAAGGTGAAGAATATAAGAAGTCAAAGTGCATGTTTGGTTTAATATTTTTATCCCTATTCTCCAAATAGCGTTTGGTACAATATTCTAAAAATATTACCCTATTTTTTAATTACATTTTAACCCCATAAGGTTATTAATTTCACTAAATACCCCCTGAAAAAAAGTTTAAAAATTAACAAAAACACCCTCATCAACCCAACTTGTCAGATTCCGGCAACCACCGTCGGTGATAGCCGGAATCTGTATAACGGCCTAACTTCCGACCAGAAATGGCCGGAAGTTTACCGCTGTGGCCTTTTCTGGCCAGATCCACCGGCCATTTCTTTGGCCGTCGCTGACAGCCAGATCTGGCCTTTTCCGGCCAGATCCACCACGGATCTGGCCGGAAAAGGCCAGATCTGGCCATCAGCGACGGCCAAAGAAATGGCCGTCGTTGACCGAAAACGACGGCCACATCTTTGGCCGTCGCTGACGGCCAAAGATGACCCTCGTTTGGCATTTTCCGACCGTCGACGGCCATAATAGACCGTAGATCTGCCTTTTCCGGCCAGATCCACCATGGATCTGGCCGAAAAAGGCCATAACGACGTGTTACGGCCAGATCCGACAAGTCTATAACCGTAATGAATTTTCCGGCCAGATTCCGTGGTGGTGGCCGGAATCTGACCTGCAGTGGTGGAGGTGTTTTTGTCATTTTATATGTTGGGTCTTTAGTTAAATTAGTAAACCTAAGGGCTTTTTATATAATTTTAAAATTTACCTCGTAATACTCCCATATCCAATAACCCAATACTATCCCTAAAATTTTTAAAATATTTTTGTTTACGTGTCAAAGTGGTATGCCTTTATGTTATCTTCTAATAAAGTAAAAAAGGAAAAATTCCTTAAATAAAATTTCCCTAATATAAATATAATACAACATATATATATATATATATATATATATATATATATATATATATTATATATATACACATAGTTATATGGTATTATAAATTATAAACACATAACAATACGAGATTTTTTTTTTTTTTTAAATCTCATAAAAATTTTGTTATTTAATTGTGCGTAATGTCAAGATATAAATATTATTTATTATACTTAAACATTTTCCAAATTTTAAATGTTTAAATAATTAGAATTTGAAAAAATATAAAAGGTTAAAAAGAGAGGAGATTAGGTGGAATGCGTTTGTCTAATAGAGTTTTGTCGTTGAAAGTTCCATCTCAATTCTCAGACCTAATTCAAAAACCCGCTAAATCAACAATCATTTCGTTAATCATTCTTTTATTTATTCTAATTCTTCCTATTAACCCTCAATTTCACGCTGCTCTCGATCTCCTTTTCTTCGGTTTCATCAAAAATTTTCTTTATCTCATCTATTTTCATATAAGTCGTCGCTCTTCCAATCCAATTCCTTTCTTCCTTTTCACGGTAATTTTTGTTAAACCCTCTTCTTTTTTTTTTTTTTTTTTTTTTTTTTTGTGGTCGTTATTTGGGTTTTGATTGAATTTGGGTTCGATTGATTGTTTCTTCGCAGAATAAGTGGAAGAAGAGGAAGAAAATTACCGAATATGTCTGGGTTTTCAGCGTGGCATAGGAGTTCTTTTGAAGATAATCAGGTGATTCATTGATTAATTTAAAGATTAGTTTGATAATCCATCTGGATTTTATTGGGGATTTTAATTTAATTGTAAGAAATTGTGATTTTTTTGGATTAATTAAACGATTTCTGATGAAATAACGCAAAATTTGGTTGTTTATATGCCTGGGCTTTCTCTTTTTGAGTCAATTTTGTGTTCAAGGTTTTTTTTTTTTTTTTTTTTAATTATTTATATTGTGTATTATAGTCAGATTGGAGAAGTCAATTTTCTGTTTTATTTATGATTATTGTTATTGAATTGGACTAATATTGAATTAGAGTTTATAGTTGGCTATAGAAGTTTCTTGTAAATGTTTTTTCTTTTTTTTTTTTAATCCAGCCTCATTTAATGTTTTGACGAATTTCAGCTATGCAGAGTCAAGTTGTGTGTAATGGCTGTAGGAGTGTTCTTCTTTATCCCAGAGGAGCATCGAACGTTTGTTGCGCATTATGCAACACAATTACATCAGTCCCTCTTCCAGGTATTTTTCCATCCTGTGGCAGATATGGTGGTAATTTAATATTATTGGTTGTTTGAGTGTTTTCACGAATAGTGATGTTATCCGCATGCTTGAGTACCTGAAATGATTTTTTTTTTTGAGCAATTGTGTTGTGGACTTTCCTTTCACCGTAATGGGTTTCGTGTATTGTTGTGGTCAATTGTTTCTTTAGTTTTTAGTTTTTTTTTTTTTTTTCCTTTTCAATTAGAAATATGGGTTAATTATTGTAGTAGACTAGTAGGGTGAGGGAGTTTATCGTATGTTTGAGCAAATATTGGAAGCTCAGAATCCATAAACCTGTAAATCATCAGACGTTGGCATTATAGTTGATATATTACAGATTGGGAAACTATGAATTCACTGGTTTTCTTTCCATGTCTTTCACCTACAGTTTCTCAGCCTTGAAAGTATATTTCAGTACTAATTCAGGCTTATCTTAGTTATTAGCTAAAATATAAAGTTGTCCGTGTTTTTCCAAACTGCTTTCATTCTAGCTGTTAAGGTCTTAACTCTAATAAGTTGTTAGAAAGAGCAGGCAAATCTTGTTAAAAATGTTCCTAACTCTAACAAGTTGTTAGAAAGTGCGGGGCAAATCTGCTAGAAAACATTACCTTCTGTTGAAAATTCTGCATGTTGTCAACATCCCTAGGTGATTTACGTTATTGCTTTGGTAATTTCCTATCATTGTAGATTGCGTTAATGCGTTCAATGTGATCAATGCCCTATTTCATTGGCAGAGTAATGAGTTTTGGTGAGCATGGGGAACCATCAGTTATAAATTCAGGAATTATAGAAAATAAATTCCTAAACAATCATATTGATCCTATACTTGCAAATTGTTAACAGTATATTCCATAATTACGTAATATACCGATACTTACAAAATGTTGCATCAGGGTTGCGTATCAGACAGACCCTATATTAACTTCCTGTACTTCTCTTTGTCTTCTCCAGTAACTCTTGTACTACTAAATTTTTATTGTGTTCCTTGCATCTGAAAAATTAATTGAAAGCCAAATAACCAAGTAACCTTCTGGGGTATTCTGGACTTGTTAAAAAAAAAAAAATCTGAATTTAGACCCAAAATCAATGGCAAGGAGCCTACTGTACGGGAGAGGACAAAGGAGCAATTTTCAATAAGGATGGTGTAGTCAAAGTTTCATGCCGATATATTATTTGCCGTTAAAAATAAGTAGATAATTTGTGAATAAAATGTTACAGGAAATAGTAAAATCTACTTTACTGGGGTTTTATTACCTAAGTTTGTATAATGTGCTGCAGGAATGGAAATGTCCCAACTTATATGTGGAGGTTGCAGGACATTGCTAATGTATACACGTGGGGCAACAAGTGTGAGATGCTCCTGCTGCCACACCGTGAATCTTGCACCAGGTAAATTACAGGCCTAAAATGTGAAGTTTATGACCAGTACTCTTGGAATGTATATCTTCATTGATGCAGGCTCCTCAACCCTTTGAGATTCTATTTCTTAATCAAGCCAAATGAGGCATATTTCTGGTCTTTTGTGTGTCTTTTTTAGGGTATGCACTCTCATATGCCTGCGGATAAGATTTGGTTTGTGTGCACACGTGCATGAGGCTGTGGCTCTGTTTCTTAGGATGTACTAGGTGCAAACAACTTTCACCAATTGCCATAATAATAGTCTCTGATGGAGTTTAGTAGCTCTTTTAAGGAATTTTGAAGTGGAGAATTTGTTTTGAAAGAAACAAATGGTGCTATCTTTGAAGGACATCAACCTCGATTGTATTTGAATTCTATCTTAAAATTGACAAGAAAGCTGTTTACTGCTTCAATGTAGTGTTGAGTTTAAGTATAGTTTGCATTTAAGTCTAGTCTTGCACAAGCTGTATGATTCCATGTTGATAACAAAGTTCTGGATATTGGTTTCTCTAAATTATGGTAAAAAATTTGTGTCGTGGACACTGTTCCAAATATGTATGAAATGGATGCAGTCAATCTGTATATTTGCTGTGGTTCCTTATCTCTCATGCTGTAACAATTAATCTCATATCATTATTCGTTACATCCCTTGATTGCACTTGTGTATATTTTTATTTGTTTTCTTTGCGGCTTCATCTCTCTAACATTTAAATTACTGATTTGTTTGTCATGGATTTTTTTTTTCCAGCTACCAACCAGGTTGCTCATGTCAACTGTGGCCACTGCCGGACAACACTAATGTACCCTTATGGAGCTCCATCAGTTAAATGTGCAGTCTGTCACTATGTTACTAACGTTGGTGTAAGTATATAAATATGTTGAATCTTGTTAAGCAAAGCATTGTTTAGAATTTGAATATGCTTCTTTCTCTTGAGTGTTTGTAGAAGTTCTGATAGTCACACTTTAATTAGTGGATTGTTAGTGGAGGTTCATTCCTTAAAAAACAATTGCATAATATTGAAGTTATTATAGACTTCTATCATTAATTGTTGGAATAGATATAGAGGTTTACTAGAGATCTGTAACCATACTGCTCCAGCCATGGAAGATGTGAACTTTCCGTTTTTGCTATGCAATTTTGGTTTCAGCTCTTTGGGTTCTTATTGTGTGAACCTAGAAGGAGCATAAAGGTTGTCTTAAATTGTCAACAGCTAAGTACGTGTTTTGTTAGGTTAAAAATTTTGTTCGTTTTTGAGTCAGGGGTTGAACTGTAATTGCCACTGTTCCTCTGTAGCTGGGGTACTTCTTAAGTTGACTATAGATTTTGGCTGTTCCCAATAATTTTAGGTCTATTGTTCTGGAGTCTAAGATCAAATATTATGTCTTATTAGGTACTTTTGATATGTTCTTGGGACTTTTAAGACAAAGGAAAAAAAGTGTCTAGAGTTCACATAAATAACCATATAATCTTTGTTTTTCTCATATTTTGATGAATGGAAAGTCATTTAGTTGTTGAGCATGGACGCCTGTTGTGTTTATATTTTTACAGCAATCTGGTTCTTCAATTTTAGCCTGCCTTTTGCTTTCAAATCCTAGTCCATATCAAAACCTCGTCATCCTGTTGAAGTTTAACCCCTTCTAGAAGTTTAAAATGATGCCCCTTAATTTATAGGCCCAACCTCTTATTTTCACCTATTCCCGCTCGAATATCTCAAAGTAGTTTGTCAGCGTGGGGTAGGAATCATGTGTGGTAATTCTAGAACAGGAAAAATATATATGCATTGCTTTGCAGTATTTTCTTGACTTCAAATTATTCCAGTAGGAAGCTCTTCATCTTTAAAAGTCCAATTATCTTGTGTTATAGTCTCAGTGTACTTCAGAATTTAGAAACAGTCTTACTCTAGCTCGATGATTCTCAACCATCTTTGTATTGCCTCATGCTTCTGTAAAAGTTATTAGATTTTGTTTTAATGAAACTAATAGTTATTGTTAATCAGTTTCATTATTTGGTGCAGCTGAAAATATTTGTAGCACCTCATTTATGCTGGAGCTGTTCTTTTTGCATTAGTTTGCTTGTGTATTCAATTTCAGTTTGTAATTGGTGCTGGTTGTTTTCATTAAAAAAAATTATTAGAAATTTTGCTTCAACATCTTTTTTGAATGATTTGTAAGTTTTTATCTCTCATATTTTGCAGATGGCAAATGCGAGGGTTCCACTTCCAGCGAACCGATCTAATGGAACAGTCACCTCTGGTACATTGCCTTCTTCTTCAATGGTAAGCCTCTGAATTTGCCAATTTTACAGGATGAGAAAATTTTGTTGTTTTGATTTTCTTGATGCTTACTGAATCCTTCACTCTCCTTCTGCTTCAACTCCCCCAGTCTCAGACACAAACTGTCGTTGTTGAAAACCCTATGACTGTTGATGAAAGCGGGAAATTGGTTAGTACTTATTAACTTATTATCCCTAAAACCGTCTTATCTTTTCTTTTTTCATAGATGTTACCTACCCTTCTTTGTTGGGAAAAACATTTTTTGCCGATGCACGTTTCTATCGTACATTGCAGGTGAGCAACGTTGTTGTCGGTGTCACAACAGAAAAGAAATAAATCATCAAATGAGGTTCCAAGATGTTGCGGTTTTAATCGGTAGAAGCAGTCCTAATCCTTATTACACATTGCTGGAAAGATGGATTTGATTATTGCTTGTGTATATTGTGGTGAAGATAGCTGTCAATTGATATTCATTCAAAAAATATATATATATATATATTCTAAAATGAGGTACTATATATATATATTTTAAAATGAGGTACTGAAGAATTTTTTAAGTGTGTGTGATGTACATTTTCAGGACACAGATAGTGGAAAAGGGGACAAATTGTTTGTCATTTGTTTGATTATCAAAATTGACCTTATGTTCGTGCCATACATATAAAAGATTGAATTTGAATGTGCTATTAATGCATGTATCTTTCCAGTAAACAGAATAATGGTTCACTTTACTCTCTCTCTCTATATATATATATAATTAAATTTTATAATTTTTGTATTTATACGAGAGTTTTGTATGTGAAGTTTAAGAAAATACATGGAAAGGGAGCTTAGGGTGTGTGTTTCTTGCCATAATCAAAATTTGGGACTTGTTAGATTGATTCTCAAGAAAGAGCAAGCTAACAGTAATGGTTTCAATGGTCAGTAACGGGTAAGGTTACCGGTTAAGTACCATGGTTAATCCTTTTATTAAAAATGATCCCAGGATCTCAAACCATTGTTAAGTTATCGGAGTAATGTATAAAGGTGTACTGTTGTGATGGTACTCTAAAACAAACTTAATATCCCCATATGATTTTGATAAACAGGGACAAATACACAGTTTTTTTATTTTTTGGACTCAAATCTTGTTTCGTGTATAATCCAAATGATTCTTGTAAACAATTGAATGATAAAAGAGAAATTAGAGATGAAAGAGGAGATAAAAGTCATCAAAGAGGACAAGAAAAAGGCTTTGATATGCAATTTGAAGCACAAATATAAAGCATTATCCAACAAAATATTAATCTTTTCACAAATGGGTAGAGTTAAAATTTTCCCACCCACCAAATACTTCGATAGGAAAACTAAAGTTGTTGGTTAGACCACCCATTGAAATCCACTCGTATCTCACATTTGCCTTACGAAACTCTACAATTGATTTTGGTCATCTGTTGTATCTTTCCTAATCTTCTATATATTGACCCATTTCACCATTGTTCTAGGCAACTTAAAGCTTCAACTGTCTTCACTCTTCATTCATCTCTCTGATTTCCCCCACTCTAGTATGGCTTCAGAAAATGCCTACAAGCCTGGTTCAAAAGCCCCAGTGGTGCTATCAGCCTCAGCCAAGCCAAAAAATTGGGTCCTTTTGTTGTTGAGAGTTGTGGCATTTTGTGCCACTGCCGCTGGGACCATTGTTATGGCTCTCAACAAAGAAACCAACACATTTGTGGTTGCCACCATTGGCACCACTCCTATTCAAGTCACTCTCACTGCCAAGTTTCAACACACCCCTGCTTTTGTGTAAGTTTCATTTCATGTTCATGTTACTAGTCTCTCCTATTGTGTCACTAATCTCGTTTGATGTTATTTATACTGTACTAGTGCATGGTTCACTGTTGAATTGTGATCCGAGAATAACTAAACGCCGGCTATATTACCGAGGGTTTATCATTATGTTTATTAAAAGGAGAGATTGGGAAGCTAATTTAAGTGGTTGATTATACAGGTTCTTTGTGATAGCTAATGGATTGGTGAGCTTTCATAACTTGCTTATGATATCAGTGAGCATCTTTGCAGGGAAGTTTAATATTGATTACAAGGGACTTCGCCATGGCATGGTTGCCATTTTGGACATGGTATATCAATTTTCATCATATAAGCATTATTAGAATTTCAAAGTTTCTAATGATCACCCTCGGATTCATTTATAATCGTCTTTTATTATCATAATTCAACAGCGATAATTGGAGAATAACGTTTGCTTTCATCATTTTCTACTGAACTAATAATGTTATCAGTGATTATTAATATATCTCACATACTTATTATCTTAGTTTTTAACAATCATTTTATAAACATATGAAAAACATATTTTAGAAGAAGGGTTTATAATCGTTTTTCAAATCAAAGTCTTGAAATTCATTAATGACCTTTAAAGTGTATAAATAATTAATGCTATTGGTAAGGAAATTTGATGATAAATGATTGTATTTTACCTGTTGTGTACATGGAAACAGCTGAACGTGGCTTTGCTATCGGCAGCAGTGAACGCGGCAGTTTTCATGGCGGAGCTAGGGAAGCATGGCAACTCTCATGCAAGGTGGAACAAAATTTGTGACAAATTTGAAACCTTCTGCAGCCACGGAGGTGGAGCCATTGTTGCTTCATATATTGGGCTGGGCCTCATGCTGATCATTTCTGTCATGTCCATTCTCAAACTTCTCAGCCCCAAATCCACCTATCAAGTTGCTGATCCATAGTGTGTTTTTGTTGCATCAATGTATTCAATCACCACTTCAATAAAATGTTGTGTGTTTTTTTTTATGTTAATTTTGTTTCCTCTAGGGTCATGGATGTTATTAGCCAAAAGTTAATTTAAAATTGCTTTTTGTAAAAAGGTGCTTTGAGTTTTATTTCAAATGTGATATCAATTTATAGGAATTGCTTCTGATATGCCTGTTATAGTTTTGATTGCCTCTTTTATGACCTTGGAAAAATTGACAAAACAATTAACTATTATTTTATTTTTTTTAATGATCGTAGGTGTCCGATTCAACTTACGTACACCTCAACTAATTCATCAGGACCCTAAAACTATCAGTCGGGCAAGAATTCAAGTGACTACCCTATTAGCAATCGAGGAAATGATTAACTATTTCGTTTATGAATTTCATACAAATAGGATTGTGTCTTGCCAAAACATAATTTTTCACTTAGCTAGAACTTTTTCAATAAAATCATGATGTAGTAAATCAATAAAGCTGAAAGTTATATCGTTTTTTTTTCATTTATTTACTAAAAAGGAAAATAAATTATCTATTAAAGCCTTTTGGGGCGTTTGGTTTAAGAAATGTTAGATTATTGGAAAGTTAGATTACCTTGAAGATTATTGTGAATCTTTAGGAAAATGTGTTTGGTTAATTGGTGGGTATGTTATATTAATATGTTTGATTAGGAGGAATAAATTGGTGGATATATTATTTAAATTACTGAATTGTTCTCTAATTAAATATTATTATTATATTATTTTTTAATATTGATTAACCCCCTTGTATTTTAAAACTTAGCAAAAACAACCCTATAATAAAGTTTGAAAAAACAACAAAGCACCCCCACCAACCCAGCCACTGCCTACCACCGGCAACACCACAAGCCACCAACAACCGATAACCTAACGGCCCACGGAAAGTAGGAAATGGCCTCCGTGCCCCGTATGGCCATTTTTTGCCAGAGATCTGGCCAGAAATGGCTAGACGTGACATATTTGGTTGTTGATGGCTAGATCGACACGATCTAGCCATTTCTAACCAGATTTCTAGTCGGAAATGGCCAAATCGGCTCACGTTGGCCATTTTCGGCCTTCCGTGCACCGTTTCGAAGGTGGCTGCGGTTGGCCGAGGTGGTGGTGGCTTGGGTGGGCTGCAATTTGTTTTGAATTCAAGGGTAATTTTGTCCAAAAAGTTACTTAATTGGGGTGAAATAGTAAAAACCATATTCATGTAAATAAATTTAAAAATAAGGGCATTATTGTCCTAAAAAATTATTAATAAGGGATAAAATTGTAACAAAAAAAGATAACTCTAATAATCTTAGAATACCTAAGAAAATTGAGATAATTATATTACCTCCAATATTACCAATAGTAACCACTATTGGTATTTGAAGATTACGGTATCTTATATTACTTGACAACCAAACATGATAATCAAGTAATATAAGATGACTTAACCCAGTAATCTCATATAACCCCCAACCAAACGCCCCCTTTAAGTAAATGGAAACAAACAATAAGGGGAAGAGAGATTTTGCTTAATTAATGAGAGGAGAGAGATTTTGTAAAAATTAATTAGGATTTTTTTTTTTTTTTTTTTTTTTTTTACAATTAACAAGGAAATATATTGCATTAAGAGCATCTCCAATGATGTTTTTTATTTTAAAGAGTATATTTCATGTAAATAAAGTTTATTTTCATTGATTTTTAAATATAAAGAACAATTTTTTTATTTAAATCCATTTAATTTTAGGAAACATAATATGTTTTTTCAAGAAAGAAACTTATTTGACCAAAACTCTTTATTATAAAGAATTTATTCATACAAACAATAGTCCAACAAATTTTTTATTCTTTAAATATAAATTAAAGAGTGAGTTTAACTCTCTACATTTAGAGTCAAATTTCACTCTCTATCCTAATTTTAAATAATAAATTATAAATTTTCATGCATTTTATTTATGATTTATCTCTCCTATTAAGTTTCTTTCTTAAAAAAACATATTCTGTCTCCTAAAATTTAAAGAGTCTATTGAATTTGAATAAAAATTTTATTCTTTATATTTAAAAATCAATGAAGATGCTGTTTATTTATATGAAATATGCTCTTTAAAAATAAAGAGCACAATTGAAGATGTTCTAAGAAAGAGATAATAGATATAAATTAATTTTATAAATATGTTATTTCCATCTCATTCTTATCCTAACCATTCCCGTGGCTTTAATTCAAGGCATACAAAAATGTCTCAAAACTTATATTAAAAAAGAGGGGTTGTGTTACTCTCCTATATATATATACGCGGGAAAATTCTCTAGTTAAGACCATCTTGATACCGTACTTGAATACTTTTAGATATACTCATTAGACCAAGATGATATTTTATATATAAGTATATACAGTATATAGTTATTCTCCATTCAAAATATAAATTTAATTAGGACCGTGAAAATACATCAGTAGATTTAAGTTGTAAAATATCATTTAAGTCTAATGTAAATTATCTAATTATGAATAATATATTATCATGATAAAATTTATATCAAGACGTTTAGATTAGAGAATTATTATATATTTGTGTCGAGATTTATAAGAAGTTTTTAAAGAAACTTATAATAATTAAAAAAATAAATAGAATTTGGTTATCAATGTTTGGTGCCATCTTGCACCACACTGCAAGTCTAAGACAAAATCAATGTAATGGCCAGAACATGCAGTAAATGGAAAAAAAGAAGATCCATTTCAGTATTTCACTGATAAAAAAGCAAATAATGTCAGAAATCCTAATAATAAAAAGTAATTTAATAATATAAAGTATTTAATAAAATAATACAAAACTGGTTTTTAACTCTTCCCAGGTGTCTCACATACCCACGGTTTATTTATTAACAAAACTTTAAATAATTGAAAAACACATCACACACCCCTTATATATAATATTAGTTCATAACTAAAACATTATAAAAACAATTCTAGAGCCACATATTATAAAGCCATAAATATTATATACTTCCTATTTTATATCCATTATCCAATTAATGTGATATTGCTAAATTATTTTATCTTGATAATAATTTAATTAAGATTGACATTATATCATATATGTCACAAATTTTTGATATAATAGAAAGATATAACGATATTATTAGAGGTTTAATAATTTGGTTATAAGATTTTTTTAAATGAAATCCGGTTTCAAATATCTAAAATAATAAATTATCCTTTATCAACAACGTTTTATTAGTGTTTATATATTTTAACTTATTAAGTTATTCAGCAAAACTTCAACAAAAAAATAACGATAATAGATTAATTGTTATTTCAAATGCTTGATGGTTCGAAAAAACCTTAGCAGATAAAATGCGATAAACTTTATTATAGATAAATTAAATATGAAACTTTGAGATTTAAACATATAACATGAAGGTAAAATAAAAATAATATTTGATAAAGTTACCGGCACTGGCCAACTAATGGTAACATTACCGAAACCTCCCTCGCACGTGCCACAAGAGTTAGTTGGTTTCAGTTAATTCTATGTGCGTTTGGGCGGGTTCTTGTTGACCATTCCTTCTCTCTCTCCCTCTCTCTATTTTATCTTTCACTTTTGTCTTTATCAGATCCAACTTCCTCTTTCAAACTCAACTCCTTATTTTATTTTAATTTATTTATCATTAACTATTATTTTCCAGTTAAATTTCCACCTTACACCTGTCTCTCTCTCCAATCTCACCCGTTCCTTCTGGGTTCATACGTTACTCTTTCGTTTTTCTTTCTTATTTTATTTTATTTTAAAAGGGAAATTGGGTCAATTTTCAAATCCCTATTTCTACCTTAATTAGGGTTTACTAAGTCAATTCTATCTCTAATTTATTTAAAAAAAATTTAACTTTAAGCAAATTAATTCAATTTTATCTATTGGGTTGTTTTTTCTTTTTTAGGGTTTCTTAAAAATAAAGTTTTGGTTTTTTTTTTTTGAGGTTGGGTATTTTTGATCAATTAGATTTTTCAGAGATAGAAGAATAAAGGGATTATTTGAATTTTGTTTCTATGGAACAGTCTAAATTCGCTGCAGAATCTCATAGCAAAGAGGTTAGGTTTCTCTTTTTTTATTTTATTTTTTTTTATTTTAAATTTAGTGGGTTGTTTATAATTTGTTCATGCTGTTTAATTGCATTTCACAATTTTCTGTGGATCTCTGTTGTTTGTTTAATTTTTATGGTAAAGTTGAAACTTTATTTAATTTATTATTTTAGGCATTTTTTGGCTTTTGCAGATGATAATGATCATGTTTATTAGGGAATGGTGATTGCTGTATTTGATGATAAGTTATGATCTTCATTCCCCTTTTGAAAGAATATTGTATGTTTTTCAGGTTTTGTTTATGTGATTTTGACTAGGATGAATTGGATATTATGTAAGTTTAATGATAGTTCATGAAACTTGGTGATGTGAGGTCCGCAGAGCTCATTGCATGTGGCTGTGCCTTCACGAATTTTATCTGTAATGAGCTATAAATTTTTAGTTCTGAAGAGCTTCTGTTGCCTGGACTGCCTTGTGATTAGGGTTGACCTTGTTGCATTAAAACCAATTAGGTTTATACACCCTTTTAGTTCATAGTCAATATTTCCGAGAGACTTAGGTGGTTTACTGGCTACAACGAGGAGAAAAAAGGGTGGAGATATGTTGATCCCACCGCCAATCATCTCCTTAATTTGTGCAACTCTTTTGTCGGGATTCATATTTCGTATGGCTTTGCTGTCATGTGTATAGCTCTTTGACAGTCCAAATATGATTTGTCAGTCTGCTATCTTGTGCATGCCATTGAAATATTGATGGCTTTGCAGGATCTGGAGGTATTTTACTGATGAGTATCCTGTGATGTCACTTTTGTGGAAGTTTACCTGTGATCTTTGTTGGTCTCCTTGCCAATCAAGTAAATTTAGATGTTTACATAATAAAAAAAAAAAAATTGTCTACTCAAACACAAGTTACTGAGAAACCTAGAAATTGGAAGTGAGGGTTATACGGCCTCTTAGACACAAAGACTATATTGAGCTTATGTCAGATATCTGAAGAGGAATCTGATGACAGAAAGTAACCAATATTTTTATACCTTAAAACGTATGTTATATTGTGGTTCATTTGCTTGATGTGGTTTGTGGATTAGGGTTTCTGAATGCATTTTCAGTTCTTCTGTACAGTAATTAGCTTGCTTTGCTGGGCCATTTTTAAACAATATATGATTTTGTATATAGTTCTGTCAATCCTGAATGTTGATTTAGTTTGCCTTTGTTTTCTTGATTATGTGCTGTTATATACATATCCAATTTGAAATATTGTATAACAATATTGCCATTACCATGTAATAGAGTTTGCTTTTTGCTAGAATAAGGTCAGGATTATAAATTGAATTTGTTCATGCTGATTTCTAATGGAAGTTATTTGGCAGGATCATTCTTTGAAGCACACCCCAAAAACTGAAAAAACTGTTGAGTGTTCTGGCAGTCCTCGAAGTAGAAATGTACGCAATCATCATAATTTCCAATGTCAGGCCCTTTCATTTTATCATGGTACTTGATGGATTTACATGAATAGCTTGGTATGGTGAATACCAAATTTAGGGGCATTTATGGGTGTCATCAACTCTCTCTTTCATGCTATTTGATTGCACAAATCTAATTCATAGAATGAGGCCATTTTAAGCTTCTGTATTCCTAGAATTGATGACTGTAGTACTGGAAGAAATTTTATTTTAGGAAAATTGAGATTAAGTATGTTTGGCAGGCTCATCGTAGTATTACTGCAAATTACCCGCTCATTTGACATTCTTGTGGTATGCAATTGCTTTCTCCTGCTAACTTGTGATACTAATATGAGGGATGTGACTGTTGGTGGCTTCAGGTTTCAGCTAGATGGGATCCAACTGAAGCATGCAAACCTATTATTGATGAAGCTCCTGTTTTTTATCCAACTGTTGAGGTATTCTCTTGACAAAGAATGCACATCTGATGTTGTTTTGTTTTAGTACTAACCTTGTATCTCTTTTTATTTATTATGTGATTCTCCATTCATTAGGAGTTTAAAGATACACTTGGATACATAGCAAAGATACGCACAAAAGCAGAATCTTATGGTATATGTCGAATTGTTCCCCCATCTAACTGGATTCCACCATGCCCTCTTAAAGCAAAAGATATGTGGCAAAGTGCCAAGTTTTCTACCCGAATTCAGCAAGTTGACTTGCTGCAAAATAGGGAGCCCATGCGGAAGAAAACCAGGGGCCGAAAGCGAAAGCGGAGAAGACAATCAAGAATGGGATCATCCAGGAGAAATAGCAATTCTGGTTCAGAAGCCAATGTTGCCTCTGAGACTGATGAGAAGTTTGGTTTCCATTCAGGATCAGATTTTACTCTTGAGGATTTTCAGAAATATGCTGACAATTTTAAAGCGTGTTATTTTGGTACAAAGGAGTCTGAGGAATCAAAGTCTGATGGGTTTGAACACAGGAGATGGGAACCCTCAGTAGAGGATATTGAAGGGGAATACTGGCGGATAGTCGAGCAACCGACAGATGAGGTTGAGGTATGAAATATGGTTACTTGATAGATTTTCTTCCCTGTATGGTTTGTTTATGCCTGTTAATATTTAATGGATGAATTTTATTCTGTCCTATTGTAGGTGTACTATGGGGCTGACCTGGAAACAGGACCTTTTGGAAGCGGTTTTCCTAAGGCATCAACCATGGTAGCTGAAAGTGATTCCAATCAGTATGCAATGTCAGGTTGGAATTTGAATAACTTACCACGCCTGCCTGGTTCTGTACTATGTTTTGAAGGAAGTGATATCTCAGGAGTTCTAGTGCCATGGCTCTATGTTGGGATGTGTTTCTCGTCATTTTGTTGGGTATGTAATGCTGATTGGTACTATTAAAGTTCAACATGATTAATTGGTTACAAATGACATATTGTTGTAAATATTCATTTTGTTTATTTGCTTTTCCTTAGATGATCTAGGCTAGGGTTATCTTTTGCCAAACCCATTAAGTCATTGCCAGTTCCTGCACAAATAAACATTACAAAAGCTTTTTATGTTATCATTTCCTTTCTCTTCTATATTTATATGCACTTAACTTACAAACATGCAGACACTAATACTGTGAAGTTTTACTTCTGGAATGTAGATAAGATAATTAGAAGAATGCATTTCATTAAACTCTAATGGCAGATTGTCGGCATAATTTGTGAATAATTCAGGGAAGGGCTTCTGTTGTGTATCATTTTGTAGCAGAAAGCAGGGTTCTAAAATTTGTTGAAATAAAATATTGTTGTAACATTTTGTCTTGACATATCACTTCCTGACACGAGTAATATGTCACTCTTGTGACTATACTGTATAAAATTTAGGGTGTGTACATTAAAGTAGATAGATGGTTTCCATATTAGCCACTACTGTTGAATTAAAGTAATTAACTAATGTCCTTGAATTTCAAAGCAAATATCTATATAGGTTTATTTTATTTTAGTTATTTACTTCCTTTTTTGTGGTGTTGTGGTTTCGGACAGCATGTTGAGGACCACCACCTATATTCACTGAACTACTTACACTGGGGTGATCCAAAAATATGGTATGGAGTACCTGGAAGCCATGCTTCCACCTTGGAGAATGCAATGCGAAAGCATCTACCTGACTTGTTTGAAGAACAACCTGACTTATTGCATGAACTGGTGAGTATTTTCTTTTGATTTTTAAAGCTTATTTACTATGCTTGGACAACACTTTTATATGTGCTTGGTTATAACATATATTTTATGAAGTCATTATGGAAAAATGCAAATACTCTTTGATTTTGTTTTTAAATAATTCTTTACTTTTTACGCTACACAGATTGCGTTGATGTTTTACATGATCATAAATTCATAAATAAAGTTATTAATTAACTTATAGTGTTTGCATTCCAAGATGAAGTGGACAGTTTCTATGTTTTTATTTTCTGGAATTAACTTTTAGATAGACTTTAATTAGTTAATCATGATAGATATTAACTCAATATCTGAAGAACTGTCCAAGAGAGTGTTGTGAAAAACTGATCAATGTGACTGGACCACAAAACAGTGTACTAGTAAAAGATAACTGAGGAAAAAAAACGAGAAAAGGGACAAAGTAGAGAAATAGCCAGTACTTTGGAGAAATTTATTTATAAGGACATTTATTATAAATCATTTATCTTAAGTCTGTTAAGAAGTTCTAGAATAACAATTGTCCTTATAAATCAATTTTCATAAGTATAGGCTATTTCTCTGCTGTTCCAACCCGGCCACCCCCCCTTCTTTTCTGGTTTTTCCCCTCAGCTTTCATTCACTAGTTGATTGTTTTACCAGTCAAATCTTCAAAATTTTCCACCCTCTCTTACACAATTCTCCAGATTTCACACCGGCGTTGGAGGTTCTGACATTCTATTCCTGCTTCAGCTGCTTTAAATTGCGAGCATATTTAGGCTTAAAATTTATCATCTCTCTCTTGGACCAGGTCACTCAGTTATCTCCATCAGTTCTGAAGGCAGAGGGTGTACCAGTGTATCGTGCTGTTCAGCATTCTGGCGAATTTGTTTTAACATTTCCAAGGGCATACCATTCTGGATTCAATTGTGGCTTTAATTGTGCTGAAGCTGTGAATGTGGCCCCTGTTGATTGGTTGGCACATGGGCAACAAGCGGTGGAGCTCTACAGTGAGCAGTATCGCAAGACATCTCTGTCCCATGACAAGTTGCTGTTTGGAGCAGCTCGGGCTTCAGTCCAGGCCCTTTGGGAGCTATCAGTGCTTCAAAAGGAGATACCTGGAAATTTGAGGTGGAAAAGCTTCTGTGGGAAGGATGGAATGCTTACCAAGGCAATTAAGGTTTAAATCTCTCTCCCTCTCACTTACACTCTTGCAGTAAATCACACACACACACACACACATGCACACACATGCACACACATGCACAGACAACTACAAGTGGCCATAAAGTAAGAGTGAGAGACTGACTTTCTTTGCTTTTTTGTATTTATTGACTTTAGAAAAGGGTGCAGATGAAGAAAGAAAGACTAGAGCAGCTCCCAACTTGTCTGAAATTGCAAAAGATGGAAAAAGACTTTGATGTGAAAACTGAGAGAGAGTNTTGTTTTAACATTTCCGAGGGCATACCATTCTGGATTCAATTGTGGCTTTAATTGTGCTGAAGCTGTGAATGTGGCCCCTGTTGATTGGTTGGCACATGGGCAACAAGCAGTGGAGCTCTACAGTGAGCAGTATCGCAAGACATCTCTGTCCCATGACAAGTTGCTGTTTGGAGCAGCTCGGGCTTCAGTCGAGGCCCTTTGGGAGTTATCAGTGCTTCAAAAGGAGATACCTGGAAATTTGAGGTGGAAAAGCTTCTGTGGGAAGGATGGAATGCTTACCAAGGCAATTAAGGTTTAAATCTCTCTCCCTCTCTGTTACACTCTTGCAGTAAATCACACACACACACACACACATGCACACACATGCACACACATGCACAGACAACTACAAGTGGCCATAAAGTAAGAGTGAGAGACTGACTTTCTTTGCTTTTTTGTATTTATTGACTTTAGAAAAGGGTGCAGATGAAGAAAGAAAGACTAGAGCAGCTCCCAACTTGTCTGAAATTGCAAAAGATGGAAAAAGACTTTGATGTGAAAACTGAGAGAGAATGTTTCTCATGCTTCTATGATTTACACCTATCTGCTGCTGGCTGCAAGTGCTCTCCTGACCGATTTGCATGCCTTAAACATGCAAAAACTTTTTGTTCATGTGAAATAGACCATAGATTTGTCCTTCTCCGATACACTGTGGATGAATTAAACACTCTAGTTGAGGCATTGGAAGGAGGATTAGATGCTTTAAGAAAATGGGCATCTGTAGATGTCGGATTGGTTCTTTGTAGTGACACTGATGGTTGTCTAGCAAAGGGGGATCTGGAGAGTAAACCATTTCCAATGCAGTGTTGTGAACAAAAGGAAAAGGAAAGTTCATCTTCTTCCCCTAGAACAGACGAAATTGTGGATGTTAATGATCGTTGCTGTTCTCAGAGTCATGTTTCATCAGAAGTAGTCCAGTCAGACTGTCAGCGAGGAATGTATGGTTTAAGTGCATCTCATACGAGTATAAATAGTCATAATGATGTTAACGATGAAACTCAGGTTATGAACAAAAAAGCTAAGGTCGAGCATGAGAGTTGTTTTGATTTAAATATTGATGTTATCTCTGATGAAAATGAAAGCAAGTTGCTGCATGTATCTGGCAGCTGTGGTAAAGAAGCTGTCACAAATCTGAAGACTCTTATGCCATTGTGCAATCCAGAGAAAGTCTGTAGCTTAGGTGCAGTGAAAGAGCCAGATACAATGCAACTTGATAGTGACGGTAATATATCAGGTTCTCATGAATTTCCTAACAAGGTTCAACCTTCATGTTCAACGGTGTTTGAGGATGCTGGTTCATTTGATGGTAAATTATTTGGGGTTGATCTTATGTTGCCACAACATTCAAAAGCAGCATCAGACAACTTGTTGAAAAATGAAATCATCAGCAGTTCTGTGACGGATGAGAGCTATCAAATGAAAAAGTTGAATCTCTCTGTTGAGCCAATAAATTTTGGGTGTGTCATGTGTGGAAAATTATGGAGCAGTAAACAGACCATTTTCCCAAAAGGTATACTGCATCAGAATTTCTCCATTGATTTTTTATGCATTGTTCAATTGTAATATTTTAATGCATTGGCGGATTAATTTTGTTGCTTGCTATTTTGTTCACTCTGCAGGATTTAGAAGCCGTGTTAATTTTTATAGCGTGCTAAATCCAGGAAAAATTTGTAGCTATATTTCTGAAGTGGTGGACGCAGGCCTTCTTGGTCCGCTCTTTAAGGTGGGGCTTTTCTCTTTGTTTTCACTTTAAAAATAAAATTTGAAAATTTTCATTGTTGAAATGCTTATGCATGGATGATTTAGTTTAAGAAACAAGATTCAGATCCTCCAGATTACCCATCCACATTTATTTGTAAAATAGTTATATTATTATTTAGTTTTGTGTCTGCCAATTTAGAGCTTTGTAAATAAAATACTGAAGATGAGTATTAGAATATTAGCTAATAAATGCTTTGTGTTGGAGCTAAGGTTCAGAAACATCATGAAACTTTATTCATTATTTTTGAGTTCTGCAAGTGCTGAGATTTTTTTTTTTTTTTTTTTTTTTTTTTTTAATAAATAGTGATAGGTGTTTCTCTCAGACTGTAACTTTGTTAAATGACATTTGTACCATTTGGTTAGCAAGGAAAGTTTTGAACTCAGATGCTTGACATTGTACTGGGTTTTTCCAGCCTATATCTATGTGTTCTCTTACTCATCTGGCACCATAAATTTCAGGTTACATTAGAAGAATTCCCAAGTGAAAGCTTTGCAAATTTCTCAGCACAAAAGTGCTGGGATATGGTGCTGCAGCAATTAAACCAAGAAGTTAAAAACTGGAGCAGCTTAGGGGAAAGAAGACTGCCCCCTCGGCAGTCTTTGCGGCACATTGATGGGCTTGAAATGTTTGGGTTTCTTTCGCCACCCATTATTCAGGTAAAGCTTCCTCTATGCTACCTTACTCAGATAAATCGACTGTTCTTTGATAAGTGGTAGGATATAACACCATAGCTACAGTAACATGCCTTTTCTAGTACGATATCCTACAAGCTTTTGCCTTATACAGGGAAAGAAAAAGGGTTCTTAAAAGTTTGATGCTTATAACATATAGCGTGTAGTGCTTTATCCTCTTATTTACTGTGCCATTTTCTTTAAGGTATTCCCAAATTGTTACTAGATCTCCTCCTCTTTTTCGTAAATGGTAAATTCTGAATTATTGCTGAAACATNTTTGTGTCTGCCAATTTAGAGCTTTGTAAATAAAATACTGAAGATGAGTATTAGAATATTAGCTAATAAATGCTTTGTGTTGGAGCTAAGGTTCAGAAACATCATGAAACTTTATTCATTATTTTTGAGTTCTGCAAGTGCTGAGATTTTTTTTTTTTTTTTTTTTTTTTTTTTTAATAAATAGTGATAGGTGTTTCTCTCAGACTGTAACTTTGTTAAATGACATTTGTACCATTTGGTTAGCAAGGAAAGTTTTGAACTCAGATGCTTGACATTGTACTGGGTTTTTCCAGCCTATATCTATGTGTTCTCTTACTCATCTGGCACCATAAATTTCAGGTTACATTAGAAGAATTCCCAAGTGAAAGCTTTGCAAATTTCTCAGCACAAAAGTGCTGGGATATGGTGCTGCAGCAATTAAACCAAGAAGTTAAAAACTGGAGCAGCTTAGGGGAAAGAAGACTGCCCCCTCGGCAGTCTTTGCGGCACATTGATGGGCTTGAAATGTTTGGGTTTCTTTCGCCACCCATTATTCAGGTAAAGCTTCCTCTATGCTACCTTACTCAGATAAATCGACTGTTCTTTGATAAGTGGTAGGATATAACACCATAGCTACAGTAACATGACTTTTCTAGTACGATATCCTACAAGCTTTTGCCTTATACAGGGAAAGAAAAAGGGTTCTTAAAAGTTTGATGCTTATAACATATAGCGTGTAGTGCTTTATCCTCTTATTTACTGTGCCATTTTCTTTAAGGTATTCCCAAATTGTTACTAGATCTCCTCCTCTTTTTCGTAAATGGTAAATTCTGAATTATTGCTGAAACATAGCATGTTGCTGTTGCTCCTTATAAGGTTTGGATTGAATTCGTCAGCACCCATAGGATAGAATTATATCTGAAATTCAATTTTTTTTTTTTATTTGTTAAAAATCCATTGCAAGCATGTTCATTATTGTTGTATTGTTCGATACTGGCTTCTGTAAGTTTGAGGTCTGTCTCTCCCGTATGCACAGGGAAGTACAACTTTGCATTGTGAATGGATCTCTACTTGGAGTATAGAGATCACACTACCTGTTCTACAGGGACCCTTTCACATTTCAGAATGTAAATAAAAAAATTTGATGTTGCTTGTATACATAAATGATCTCCACATACTTGTAACACAGAGAGACCTGCTTTGTTTCAGTGCCATTAAAGTTATGTATCTTTTTCAGATCGCTCTCAAACATCTGCATAACTTGGGGCTTGTCCACATACATGCAAAGAGAAATAAACGATATAACTTTATTTTCTTTCATCTTGTGACATGCAATTAAATTTAGTTATGTTTATGACCAACATTTTGTTTCTATTCACAGGCTATTGAGGCTCTTGATCCAGATCACCAATGCGTGGAATATTGGGACAACAAACCGAAGACTTCCTGCAATACTAGTGAAGTCAAGAATAACTCATTTGAAACTGGTAGCTCTCCTGGAGAAACCAAGACAAAAATTTTCGGCATTGCTCTGAAAGAGGAAGATCAGAACAGTCCATCTATAGGAGGCCATAATCCGGTTGACGAAGAGGTACAGCTCGTGCTACAAGGACTTTTCAGAAAGGCAACTCCCAAAGAGTTAAAAGTAATGCACAGAATACTCTGCAGCGAGGCACAAGGTGCCGAATGGAGAGTAGCGTTCACAGCATTGATCGAGGAGATCCATAAACAATGTAGATAAAATAAAAAACGAAAAGAAATAGGTGCCATCATTCTTTCCCATTCAACATAGCTTCTTATTCAATTTGTTAGGCCCCAATTCTTTTAAGAATCCATAAGGAACTAACAGAGCTCCCGGGCGTGAGTCGTGCCCTCTATTTGTAGTGTGCCAAAGCTGTTAACTGATCACACATAAGGTCCCTTTGTTCACTGAAAATTCTTACTAACCCTGATGAAATATATGTCCATTTTAGTTCTTCAGGAAGTTCTGATTAGCCCTCCATTTCTACTTTTGCTTTCATTTGTGTACATTTAGATGCAATTTTTGTCAAAATTTCCAGTGATTGCATTTACAGGATTCATGGAGTTTTTTGAGGTGATGTGGAATTTTTTTTTGTTTAAGGACATTTATCCATTATTCACTAAATTACAAAGTTGAATGCAATGCAACTTCTAGTTTTGTTCTAAATCTGCAAATAGACCTAATCCAACATGGAAGAAAACATCAAGAAGCAAGAATATAGGCCCAACTGAGATGAAGGTTTGCCAAAATTATAGCAGAAATCATGAATTACCTAACAACCCAGAAAATAAAAACAAAGAAACAATTAGCAAGACCAAAACTTATCAATTAATTCCTTCAACTTTAACCACATTCATGAACACGAAGATCAGCAATTCTTTACGTCTGCATGAAAAACTACACTAATTACCAAACAGAAAATTGTTTCTTAGTATCCAAACAGAATCTTGATCATCTCACTTAGTCTTTTCGGCTCAAGACCTGAGACTCATCTTCTTCGACTCTCATCAAACTCCAGGAAAAATCACTCTACAAAAATCTTGAACCCCAAAAACCCCACAATCAACCCCCCAAAAACCACATGAAACTCCCACCACAAGCATGCAGCATCAGACCTTTTGCCAGCACCATGGCTGCCTTCGCCGCCGCCGCCATGGCCGCCTCCAATCTCCTCCTCCGTGGGGACAAACAACGGCTTTGGAGCAGGCGGGCGTGGCGGAGGTGAAGGTTCAGGCAAGGAAAGAGTGTAATTTTCACCATAAACTGAGTAGTCAAGAAAATTATAGACCCCATGAACAGAAATGGTGGAAGTGAGATAAAAATCAGGTTCAGAAAGAACAGAATCGTCGAGAGTGAAGTTCAAAACCGAAGTGTTTGTAACGAGAATCGATTTCGTGGGCAAGAGAGTGGGGAGGCGAGAGAACGGCTTGAGAAGACAAAGATCAGAGAAAGTGAGGCGTTGAGGGACGATATGGTAGGCCAAAATGAAAGGGTCCATGTCAAGATTTGGCGGGAAATCGTTGGTGGGTATGAAGAAGGTGGCGGAAAGCGGGAACATGGCGGTGTCAACAGCACCGGAGAGCATTTCCTCCCAGTTGTTGAAGTCGCCGGCTCCGATCAGGGCGTCTATTATGTTGTTAAGCTGTTGGCGATCGATGGTGGTGTCGGGGTTGGGGTTTTTTTGCTCTTGTGGGGAGTTCCAGATTGGTGACGTTGGGGCGGTGGTTGAGGGCTGTGATGCGGCTGAGATGACGGCGGTGGTGGTGAGGAGGAGGAGAACAAGAGGGAGGCGGTTGGCCATGGAAGAAGAAAAGGATTTCTCTGGTTTCTTGGTTTCTTTGATTATGAGTTTGGAGCAGAGAAACTAACCGTGTAACGAACTCTTCCCGCCAATTGTATTGACTAATTTTGAGAACTTGGTAAGGGTACTTGAATGTTTATGTACTTGTTGAAATTCAGTTCAGTTGGGCCTAGTGGGCCGGGCCGCTAAACCGTGTTTCATCTCCTTCTTTTATTATTTTATTATTTTTTTATTTTTTGTTAATATTAGAGTTTGCTTTTATTTTTTTTATTTTTCAGCTTTTTTTAAAAAAAAAATTCTATAAATATTAGTGCATGAACATTTATATTTGTTAATATTTTTAAATTGATTGAGCAAGAATTGACGAAATCATTTTGAACATTTTTTCATTAAATTTAATTATAATTAATGAAAATTTGTCTCTTTAGAATTATCTTTAAAGTTTATAACTTTTGACCATTTTCTTCTATTTTCAAAAAAACATTATCCCGTAATTTAATTTGTTTCCAACTTGTCAGTCACCATTTTTGTTTTTTAAACATGAACATGCAAAACAAGTAACTCAATGTATAACTAAAATTGAAATTTGAAACCACACAAAAGATTAAAAGAAAAAAAGTTATTTGTTTTCAACCTCTCTTTTTCATGTTTGCAATAAGAAAATGATAAAAGAAACACTTCCATACTAATTTTATTTTCAAATACTGTTTTCAAAAAATGATAATGAAAACATTTTTTAAATTTAAGAACACAAAATCAAAACTTTTTATTCTCATAAAAAAGAGAAATTAAATACAATAGAATATTCCTTCACGTTTAAAACCTAGAAAATGGGCCTAATGGCGGCCCATGAAGTAAAAGAACATCAATACTTCAGTGAATTCACACACTCCAGCAAACAAAACAANATTTTTTTATTGATTGAACAATAATTAACGAAATTATTTTGAACATTTTTTCATTAAATTTAATTATAATTAATGAAAATTTGTCTCTTTAGAATTATCTTTAAAGTTTTATAACTTTTGACCATTTTCTTCTATTTTCAAAAAACATTATCCCGTAATTTAATTTGTTTCCAACTTGTCAGTCACCATTTTTGTTTTTTAAACATGAACATGAAAAATAAGTAATTCAGTGTATAACTAAAATTGAAATTTGAATCCACACAGAAGATTAAAAGAAAAAAAATTCTTTGTTTTCAGCCTCTCTTTTTGATGTTTGCAATAAGAAAATGATAAAAGAAACACTTCCATACTAATTTTATTTTCAAATACTGTTTTCAAAAAATGATAATGAAAACATTTTTTAAATTTAAGAACACAAAATCAAAACTTTTTATTCTCATAAAAAAGAGAAATTAAATACAATAGAATATTCCTTCACGTTTAAAACCTAGAAAATGGGCCTAATGGCGGCCCATGAAGTAAAAGAACATCAATACTTCAGTGAATTCACACACTCCAGCAAACAAAACAAGAACAAACTAAACCATTTAGATACAACTACTAACTAAAAATTAATTTTTACAGCACCACAATATAATGCATACATGAATTACTGTAACATCAAACTTTGTAATTTTCTCTTTTATGTATGCTGTATAATCACACCAATTCGCCAAATCCCACCCATTTATGAAACAAATGCAGCAATCCGTCAATGATTCTCCGAGAAACTATGTGAGATCGTTTTCATCCAGTGCTTCTTCATCTTTACCATCATCGGTTTTCAGAGCAGTAACTTCTCCGGTAGGCAGCTTTCGTGCAAGCTTGATGATCTGCAATGATTCATTTGTCACAATCAGAACAAAGAAAGGGGTTATCGTTCACCTACCCTTACATAACCACTATTCCAATCTTAAATTTCTTGGATTATAGAATCCGGCTTACTCCTGGAGACAGAGTTGAAGCGAAGGATCATATTCTTCTTGGAACTACAACCCAAACCAAGTTATATATCAAATTGTTTATTATCTCTCTTCACAGGCAATTCAAACATTTACCTGAACTAAATGGGATTATGCCCATGAAAAGTTAGAATATTCATGTTGGATCAGATAAAATTTCTTCAGATATTCAAATAAGCCTAAACCCGGTACTTAAAACATGATGCAATCATCCAGACTAAATTAAGATAAGTTGATGCAATTCCAAACGAATAACTTGGGTGCAAGGAAATAAAAAGAATTACCGTATTGTCAAGATTTGAAATAGTGCTTGAATGAGCAACGCGCTTAATTTCTTCAACATCACCTTCCCTATAGGCAGAAAGAAGCTTACTAGCACAGCGACTGTGGTCACTTCTCAGAAAAGCATCAATCCTACAGTAAGCCAAAGGCAGTAAGCCAACATTTTCCCCCTTATCCTTTCTTGAGTAAAACAGTGAGTAAAATCTTAAGAAAAGAAAACTTAACTAAATGGTTCAAATTAATGAGTGGACATCGTTTCTCTTGCATAGAAAACTTTAACACTGCATTCAACCTATGAGACATATATTGTAATATTGAGAAACAAATAAAGCATAACAGCTGCAGTGGCAACAGGTTACCTTCAACAAATGCTACACATCAAATTTTATTCTACCTAGATAGAAGGTTCAACAGCTGGCAGCCAACCCCCAATTCCTGGGAGAAGATTAATCTTAACATGGAGGCAATGTGCATCTCTATGTCATATAACAATAATTTGGGATCGGTACATAAGAATTCTAAGAATAGTAAGTGAAGCCATAGCTCTTCCATATTTGTACATTTACTTTGGTGGAACTTGCAACTTTGCTAAAAATGCCAGTAATTTGCAAACATTAGTGCATTGTTTATCATTGATCATAGGAGCATAATCAGTAGCAAGATGTTCTTGATTATCCCTTTTCTTAGAAGTTGAATATCATTTCCATGCTGCATTATATGCTTTTGTTGGTTTTCTATAAAATGGTCTTAATGACTGCCCTAAAGCACATGTTAATGTTTTACAAGTACAAAATTTTTTCATATATCAATTGCAGGAAAATGTTTTTCTTTGTATTTCCACAAATGTAATGTATTGATAATAATCAATATTTCTATTTTTAAGCATACTTAAGGGCACATGTTTACATTTCTCTTCCACTGAATCTAGTAAACTATGTTTCAGCAGTTCATTAAGAACCTCAAAACGAGAGGGACACAAAGAGAGAGATAACCCTGCTGTGCCTACTTGAGGGGTTGTTTGGGCCATAGAAACCATCCAAACTTAAGTATACATTGAGCATAAAATATAATTTCTGTGCACAAGTATATAATATAAGCATGTAGACTTCATCCAGATTCCACAATTCGATAACAGACTTGATTGTCAGAATGCACAAACGAATTTATATCATGTATACCCATTTCAATCCTTGCTGTGACTAAAAAAGTGGCTGTTTGGGGCACAGAAATAATCCCAGTTTGAGTAGACATGGAGCAGTACACAAATTTAAGTGCATAAATATTCACTAAAAGAAGCAGCAACGAAATTATACTTACTGGGAACAATCATTGTAGCACTTCTCTGCTTGCTTGAAGTCATGAGCATAAAGATACACAACAATGGCACTAAGATATGCCTGAAATCAACTTGGGTACGTTAGAAGTAATGTATTTGTCATAATATTTCTTGATTGGTGGTGGCAAGATGACTTAAAGCAAATAAATTCTAAAAAACAATAATAGAAAAAAGAAAGCAAAGTAATCTACGTAGAGCAAATTACTTCACAAGTATTTATCGAGAACTATGGAGTCAACAAACCCAAGGTGTTTTAAACAATTTAAAAAATTGAAGAAAAGAACAGCTGAAATGAATGAGATATAAAGGTTGAAAGCCAAATGATGTAAGTCAACACCTTGCACTGGCTGTTGGTGGCTTTGCACTTGTCAGCTGCTAAGCCTAATCTCAACAGGAAAGCCGCAGCATCTGTATATCTGTTGGAAATGACAACGTAATTAACACTTACAAGGTCCTATCAGAAAAGCAATAAGAATGAGACACAATAATAGTGATTTATAGTCATGTCAGAACTATGACATGTACAGTAGTAGTGTAAATCAACACTTAGCGTGGGTGTTCTTTGCATAGAATGAGTAAAGACAAGTGTATCTATCTAGAAAGAAAACTGTAGACGCCTAAAGTGCTTAAAGTATAATTATGAACATAAAAAGACTGAAAACTGCCACAAATAGATCCCCAGTTTGGCCAGAGGTACCAGAAACAAAGAAATTGGTTCTAATAGCCATAATGAAATTTTGTGCAATATTCAAATAAACTATAGGAGTGTAAATATTCTCAGAACAGTTACACTTACATCCGCTCACATGGAGCACAAAACACAAAAGCACAAAACACAAAACTAACTTACTGCATTAAATGAATATAAATGTTAAATCATGTGAAGAATTATTGATGGGATCAGGAAAGGGAGAGAAAACAAGAAAGGGTAGAAGTAATAGAAGAATAGAAAGGATAGACTTGATGGAGAGAAAGCAATAAAGGAGAGGAGCAGAGAAAGAATAGGAAGGGGGAAATTTTAGAAGAAAGGAGAGAAGAATTAATATAGGACAGCCTAGAGATATTAGGGATCTATTGTAATCTCTAGGAATTGTTTTTAATTTATTTCCTTGTTTAAATAGAAGAAGACTTCCTTGTTTGGATTGATCTTCTTTCCTATTGTGAGGAGATTTTACTTCCTCCTATAGAGTTATTGTAGGATGACTTGAAAATATGAATTGATAATAAAGATGCTTTCTCCCCCAATTTCTATTTTCTCCCCTTTCTTCTACATTTCCCCCCCTTTATGTTCTTTTTCTACTTCTCCGCTTTCTAGCTTTCTCTCCGTCAAGTCTATCCCTTCTATTATTCTATTACTTCTACCCTTTCTTGCTTTCTCTCCCTTTCCTAATCCCAGGTATTAGAGCCTAATCTCGATTCCGCTTCCGCACAAAAAGACAAATTCTAACTTCAACCTCCTTGACTTTCAATTAAATACCACTTTCTCAACTTAATTCAGAATGCAATATCAAGATTTTACTCATTAATTAATCTCTTTCAAATGATCATTCAAGATCAACTTTGGTGTTTTCTCATATATTGGCAACATCCGCCTGATTAAGTTCTCCAGTCTACTCAATTCAAATTTTCAAGTCATCCAACAATAAGGATTTTGGCATTCATTTATAGAGCCAATCATAAATAACATAAGGAAACAAATAACTAGTAAATAAAATAACTATATAGGAGGAAATAAAATCTTCCCACACTAGGAAAAAAGATCAATACAAGCAAGGAAGACTTCTTTTATTTAAATTAGGAAAGAAAATAAAAACAAATCCTAGAGATTACGATAGATCCCTAATATCTCTAGGCTGTCCTACATCAATTATACTCATTCTCATTAGATAAGCAAAAATCATCCCCTCTTATACCAAGCATTTTTATAGGTCTACCAATAAGATTAAACTTAGAGTTTACATCCACAACATTAATGATCGTTATAGCCAATTCTTATTTCAAATAGTACTGAACGCAATCAACCATCCAATAGACACTGCTGAACTTTAAACACCGGATATTTTACTCTCCTAACATGTGGCACATTTCAAAGCTAACAAGTCTATAAGCTTTGTATTTAAGTACACTTCACTAAACCATTTCCATTCCATCTCACAGAACAACTTTAGGAAGGAAACAGATGAACTAGAATGGATTTCAAGAAAAAGATATACCATATCAAAAGTAAATGGAACACACTTTGTTTATAGATTATATTATGTCAATGAATGAACATTTATTTTCGACACTATAATTGAAGATAGTTACAGTCTTGATGAACTATGAAACTTGCAAGTCCTTAGCAAGTGTGTTCTAGAAAAGCTTCAAATTAGCATAAATTCGGGAGATCAATGTTCTCCTTTTATAGAAAAATGATACCGTAATTTAGAAATATACATAAAGAAGAAGAAAGGTTAAACAAAACAAAGGTGAAATGGGACATCTCTTACATATATAATATACATTAATACACGACTTATAAATAAGAATGACCAAGCAACTGCCTAAAAGCCCAACGAGATATATCTTAGAAAGAGGATTTCACAAGTTTCAGAAGTTAATAGTGCAAACCCATAAAGTACACCACTATAAATTTCATCATCTAAAGCATACAAATTTAACACAATTAAAATATTAAACCTCAGTATAAAGAAATTTAAAAGTAAAAAACTCTTACTTCTCAAGCTTTATATAGACATTAGCAGCAGCACGATAAAGATCAAATGCCATTTGTTCCTTCCCATCCTCTTCCAGAATATCACACGCATCAGTGTATAGTTGAATCGCATCATCTGGGTCAGCATCTTCTAGCGCACTACAGGCAGGAGAGTGAGAAAGAGTGTCATTACAACCAATTTCAAAGATTATCCGAGATATAAAGACAAAAAGACAAAACATAAATTTATATATGATAACTTAATTCCAATATTTATAAAATAAGAAGAGAGAAAATTTAAAAAAGTAGGAAGCGGTATTTTTGGGTAATTACTTGTAAATGTGAGTGTACCACAAGCTAGCATCTTGTTCACTGCTATATGGTGACACTGAAACCCTCAAATGAATATCTTTTTTTCTAAGTGACAGTAATCCTAAGATTCTTGATGTCTTTCCTTTGAATATATGTGCCTTTATCTGTGTTTATTAATATGGGTTTGAAAGAAGTAATAAACATAAAGAGTAGGAAAGGATATTTATGAGTAATTACTTGTACGTGTATAAACGCTAAAACACTGTAAAGTAATTAGGCTCTCTATACAAAATGGAACATAATCCCTAGCAATTAATTACACATTTTTGGACAACCCATTAATATATATGACATGTTATTAGGGCATTACAAGTTTCAAATTAACAATGTACAGTAATAGGATAACCATATGGCACAATACTGAATAGAAAATCATATATAATAGTTTCTCAGAACTTCCAACCGCTCCCCAAAGTTATAAAGGTGTACGTCAATAGATGTCCTTGTAAACAATTAAATTCCACAAAAATATTTCAGTTCAAGAAAGAAGAAAGTGAGATTCAGAGTATGATAAGAAGAGGGTAAAACTTTTCCATCTGTTTACCGTGCAGCCTTTGCAAGAGCATCTGATGCAGGTTGTGGTCTTCCACACTCTGTGTATAACTCAGACGCTTTTCTATAGAAGTCAGCAACTTCAGTCCAATTACCCAGATCCTTAGCAAGAACAGCAGCAGACTCCATATGCTTAGCAGCATCCCAGGGTCTGATTTGCTAGTAAAGGATATACCAACACAGAAATATATGTATCCAACACATAATACCCAATACTACACGACACACAGAAAATAATAGTAATACGAAATGAGGATACGAAGAGAGCATCTCTTGCCCTTTTGAAGCTTTCTCAAACGCAATATTAGCTTTCTCATAATCCTTGGCAACCCTATACCCATTAGCTACAGCAGAACGTATATCAATGAATAAATCACCCAGAAACAAAATAATATACTTAATTTCATAGTTTAAACAGGCATAAACCTCACATACCAGCCTGCTCATACAATTGAGTAGCACTTTTCCAATCAGCACTCCATCTTGTAAGACTGAGCTTTGTCCTACAGAAATTTCAAAATTAGACTTTCAATATCCAAGAAAATATCAATCAATGCACCATTATCTTCTGTGCCTTCTCTTCTAATTGGAATGCATCGAAGTGAAATTCAACACATAAAAAATCATAACAACAGCGTGAATTATAAAATTAAACACAAATCTTGTAATATAAGAACTCAAAGCTTGCAAAACATTACAAATCCACCCCAGCTCGCCACACATAACATTCACAATCTTATAATGTCGATTAAGGGAGCAAAGTGAAATCCAATTATAATCAGTAGAATCGATTAGATTCTATTAATTAAATGAACAAACCAAAAAAGTTTAGCTCTGAATAAAAATTGATTGATGTTTGAGAGAGAAAGCTTACAGTTTGTCAGCTTTGGTCATCAACTTGTGAGGATCTGAACTCGCCATGGCTCTGCTTCAGAGTCCACTCATCGACAACGCAACCGATTTTATTTCCCGGATTTTAGTATTATTTTAAATTTGATTTTTTTGTCTTATGGTTTGGTGAGAATATTGGCTTTTAAGTAAATATTTTTTTTTCTCATTTTTAATTTAACATTCAGTAATAAAGAATTTAATAATAATAATAATAATAATAAGATTATGATAAATTAAATAAAATGACTGGATAATGTGTTTCTCCCATTAGTTTTTTTAATATTAATAATTAAAATATTATATATGATTTTTATAATATTTGTCATGTTATTTTTTTTAATCTTATTTAAAGATATATTAGAAAAGAAATTGTTTAAAATTTACTATTTTAAATTAAAGATGTTTGGTTATCTAATGTATTCCAAATTAAATTTCACCTAATCTTATCTCTAATCAATAAAGATAGGTTGACAAATGAATCTCACAAACTTTCTTTTACAAACGCAACGTGACACACTGTCTATTGATGTTGCTTAGAGGGGTGGTGACAGTGATAGATTGTGTTTGTAAAATTCGTTTATCAACGTAGTATTTCTCATCCCTAATAATTGTTGGTGGGTTGTATGCATCAAATTCAAACACCTACTACACTACCAACTTCCTTTTTTTTTTTTCTTTTAAGTATTTTGATTATTACTTCAAAGTAGATTTACTTTTGTATTTGTATTCCTAATAAAAAATAAAAAATTTATCGGATTAAAACTAAAACTTTTTTTGAAAATTATATTTAAAAAGAAAATTATTAATAAATTTTGATAATGTGTATAGAAAAGAATAAGAATTTTGCCTATTTTTGGTGTTTTTCTATTTGCTTGATTATGTTATCCAAAAAAAAAAAAATCAATAAATTTAGTCACACTTTTCAAGTGAATTAGATTTTTTATATTTTCCAATGTAGTGATATATATTCTTATTATATTATTTTATTTTAATTTATAGCAAGTCTTACGTTTTGATTCTAATCTTACAATTTTTTTTTTTTTTTTTTTAAAAGTTTATTCAATGTTCTTTCACCAAAACGTTTGGGTGTTAAAGGTTTAGAAGAGTAATATCATAGCCAATCTCCATGTACCCCATGACCAAAATAAATGTTATTGATTAAAATACACATGTTGCAAGAAAGTTACAACTACCACTAACACTTGTCGAAAGTTTTATATATTAATCTAGACTCTTACTTGCTAATGATATGAATGTTTCAAGGTCTTTCCGTTTTGTTTGTAATATTTATTCTTTATAAAAATTAATATTTGTAAGAATTAATTAACTGTCACTCTCAAGGTTTACCATAAAAATGCATTAAGCATGCACTAGTTAACCAAGTAAAAATTCAAAAATGTTATAAGTGAAGCCTTATGCGACGTCGTTTCATTTAAAGCTGAGACTTCATCCTGATTGTTGGTTTGAGAACAGATCTGACATTGAGACTTAGTTGGGGTCAAACCTATAAGTCGAAGCTTTCCCTATTCGCAAACAACCTTTTTCCTCTGTTCGATATCTCTCAAATTTTCCAGGTTAGGTTCAAGATTAGGCTTTGTGTGTATGTAATCTGCTGTAAATTTATCCATCGAGTCGTGTTTCTTAGTGGGGTGGGAACCTGGTGTAGAGTTCTTAGTACAGATTAGTTTTATCTTTGTTATACGAAGCTAGTTTTTGATCTTGGTTGAAATCTTGTAAAGGGAAGAGAGTTTGAGGGTGTAACCGTTCTTGATCGAAATAGTAAGTGCAGCGAGCATCCATATTCGGGAGCTCAACATGGACGTAGCTTGTTCAATATTAACAAGTGAACCCACGGTAAATACTGTGTGTTGAATCTGTTTTGGTTTGTGTTGATTGTGTGTTTTGGTTGAGGTTTGCTTGTTCAGTGAGGAGAAATTACAACAGTGGTATCAGAGCCTAAAGTTCTGAGGTGTATCTAGGTTTAGAAATCGTTTAATTCTGACGAATTCGAAAATTAGGGTTTGTCAGTTTTTTGGAGGTTTTGATTTAAAGGTTCCTAGATCATTAGACCTCGAATCTTGCTGAGTCTTGGGATTAATTCGTGAGATTAGGTCACAAACACAAGGGATCGACGAAATTCGTGCAAATCGAAATAGGGTTTTGTTAGGATTTGAGGGTTTTCTGTTTTATAGAGTTTAAGGGTATCTCGCTGGAAAACCAGTAACTGCCTTAAAAACTGTCTGGCAGTACTTGGCAACCCTGGTATAACCAGCCACGTACTCCTAGACTGTCCTGTCCTGTCATTACAGTACAATGGCACTACTCGTATAAGATCTCCCAATACTGATGGGAAATCGATTTAATACATGAAAGAAGAAAATGAAGGCCTTGTTATCTCACAACAAGGTTGGAATCGCACTGGAGAAAGATGAGTCCAAATGCCAGAAGAAAGAGAAAGAAAAAGGCAGAAGTGGACGAAGAAGCATACAATTTGATCATTATGAACCTTTCAGACACTGTGCTGCGAAGGTGGGATAGTGTGATCTCCAATTCTACCTGGGGTAAACTCGGACTCTGTATGCTCTTAAATCTGCTCCTAATTTAGCTTTCTTGAAATGCGTTTTATTTTCTATAAGAGGTAAAATAAATCCTCGCATCATCTTGATGAATTCTTAAAAATGACCCAACCCTAAAAGGTACTGACCAAGAACTAGGAGATTCAAGCCTTGCTATGATTCTGTTAAATTCCCTACCAGAAGAATATTTAGTGGTAAAGAATGCACTCCGTAAGTGGCACAATACCTAGTGTGGACTTAATTATTTTGGACTAAAATATAGGGAATTACAATTAAAGACAAAGCATAATGGTATCAATCTGTTGTGAAAGGGAAAGTTGAGGTTGGGCAATCTAGTAAGAGACTGGAAAAATCCATCAGAGAAATGTAGGCTCTAAAAACAAGAAGAACAGTAAAGGAAATGGTAGAATAAGGAAAACCTAGGAAATGTTTCTTCTGTAACAAAGGTTGGGCACCTCAAGAAAACTGCTATGATTGGATTAAAAGAAACAGAACAGTACAGAAACAAACCTAGCTAGCTCTACAGTACCTAGAAATATCAAAAGCCCTTACCATTTCTAATTCATCTAGCAAATGAATGGGTGCTAGACTCTGGTTGTACCTTCCATATGAGCCCTAACAAAGACTGTTTCAAAGGCTTAAAACTGGGAACAAGAAACTGTCTTTATGGGGATAACCACTCCTGTGAGGTTCAAGGGATAGGGATATAACCATTAAGCTGAATAATGGTAAGGTAGTATTACTAACTAGGGTCAGGTTTATACCTGAACTAAACGTAACCTAATTTCCTTGGGAACCTTAGATGAATTAGGATGTTTTATAAGGCTCAAAATGGGTGTATGAAGTCTACAAAAATGGGAATGTTTTAATGAAAGGGGTTAAGAAAAATGGACTTTATATCTGTGTGGGCAGTTCTTCCTGATGCTTTTAATTCTGCTTTATTGTCTACTAACAATCTGCTGCACAAATGGCACTTGAATTAGGCCATATAGCCAAATGGTATGAATCCTTGAAACAGTAGGGTTTTTTGGTAGTATGTGGTGACGCTTTAGATTTTTGTGAAACCTGTATCCTTGGAAACAGCACAGGATAGCTTCCATAAAGACTCATCTTGCTGCATACTGTATAGACTATGTTCATGCAGACCTTTGGGGTCCAGAAAAGGTAAAGTCACATGGAGAGAACATATACTTCCTCTCTATTGTGGACGATTATAGTGGAAGGTATGGTATGCCTTCTTAGGTCGAAGGACGAAGCCCTAACAAAGTTCAAAGGTTGGAAAACCCTTGTAGAAACACAGTTAGATAGGAAGGTCAAAACCTTTAGACTGATAATGGGTTAGAGTTCTGTAACTTAGAGTGTGACACTTACTGCCAAAATCAGGTTACAAAGGCATAAAACTGTCAGGCACCCAAAACAGAATGGGGTTGCAGAGAGGATGAATAGGACTCTCCTAGAAAGGGTCAGGTGTCTTCTGTTCACTATTGGGTTACCCAAGACTTTTTTGGGAGAAGCCCTATCTACAGCTGCTTATTTGATCAATAGAAGTCCATCCAGTTCAATAGGCTCTAAATGCCCTGAAGAGAGATGGTCTGGAAGGAAACCTAACCTAAACCACCTAAGGGTCTTTGGGTGTGCAGCATATGCACATACTAGAGAGTGTAAGCTTGAACCCAGGTCCTTAAAATGTGTCTTCTTTGGGTACTAGGAAGGTACTAAAGGTTATAGGTTGTGGGAGAGAGATGCTCCAGGGGTGAGGATCATAATCAGCCGAGATGTAGTCTTTAATGAGTTAACCTTTCCTTGCAAAGTGTTTACTGACAATGCAGGTAACTCAAGTACAGACCTTGAACTGCTTGATCAAACAGAGAGATCCTAGTTTGAGGTGGAGCCACAAAACATGAAAGAACACTTAGAACAACCTGAAGCCATAGAACCAGAAAGTACTACACTGCAGAACATTGGGGACCAATATGAAGAAGATAAGCAGCCTGAGAACAATGATGAAAACCAGAATGAGAACTTGGCAGACTACCAGCTGGCTAGAGACAGAGTTGGAAGGGAAATAAGGCCCCCAAACAGATACAGTTATGCATATTTGACTACATAGCCCTTGTGGCTGGGTAGAAACACTGAGGTCTGAGCCAGAGACATATCAGGAAGCTGTGAGTTCAAAAGACAGTAAAAAGTGGCTGGAAGCAATGAAGGAGGAGATGAAATCTTTAAGGCAGAACAGAACCTAGACTCTAGTCCCAAAACCTACTGACCGGAAACTTATTGACTGCAAGTGGCTTCATAAACTGAAGGAATGCCTAACAAGCTCAGACCCTCCAAGATAAAAAACAAGATTAGTGGCAAAGGGCTACACACAAAGGGTAGGTATCGATTTTACAGAAGTTTTCTCCCATGTGGTTAAGTTTAAAACAATTAGACTTATGCTAGTTGTAGTAACTCAATATGATCTAGAACTGGAACAGATAGATGTTAAAACTGTGTTTTTACATGGTGAATTGGAAGAGAAAATTTATATGAGTCAA